TTTATTCTTCTGGGGGATTCCAAGGTTAAGTGGCTTTGGTGGCCCCCCCCCGCAGGCTCTGAGGTGGGGCCAAAAATGAGGAGTTAAGTGTGCAGAGATGGGCTAGGGATGGGGATGCAGTATCTGGGCGGGAGGTGGAGTGTAGGAAAGGATGAGGGTGCGAGGTCTGGGTTGAAGGTAGGGTGCAGGATCAGAAACAGGCTGGGGGCAGGCTGTCTGTCCGGGGGTAGTGGCTTTGGTGGCCCCCCCCCGCAGGCTCTGAGGTGGGGCCAAAAATGAGGAGTTAAGTGTGCAGAGATGGGCTAGGGATGGGGATGCAGTATCTGGGCGGGAGGTGGAGTGTAGGAAAGGATGAGGGTGCGAGGTCTGGGTTGAAGGTAGGGTGCAGGATCAGAAACAGGCTGGGGGCAGGCTGTCTGTCCGGGGGTACAAGCTGGCAGGGGGCAGGGTGTCTGGCCAGGGGGCAGGAGTGGGAGTGAGTAAGGAGATGGGGATGTGGGGTCTGCGCATGAGGGAGTGGGGAGGCACTTACCTGTTTTTGCATCGTGTCGCAGACATCATGTAACAGGGCCTCCCACTGCTCCCATTTGCTGGAAGGAAGCCTCCAGGAAGCATGTCCCAGGGAAAGGAAAAGGGCAGCGCATGCTGAGTAATTTTTTGTTCCACTTGTTCTCTGCAAGCCGAGGGCAGGAAAAGAGGAGCGCATGGAGCCACGCTTATTCCCCGCACACCAGAACCAATGGGAAGGCCCGGGGCTTTGTCCCCGTTCCCCCCGCAGGAAGCCAGCATTGGCATTCCAATCTTGTAAGGGGCTGCAAGGCTGCAGTACCAGTGCTAGCTCCCTGATGCAGGGGGAGCTAGCAGGGTCTGTGTTGGGGCTCCAGAAAAGCCGTATCTGGCTCCCTAGTGAGCCATATTTGGATCGCAAGCCATAGGTTGCTGACCCCTATTCTACAGTCACAATCCTATGCACCACAATGTGATTTATTGCCCTGCACACTTGCATTAAGTGCTGCCCTGACAGTAGACTTTCCCACTCCAAACAGATTTGCAACTGTACGGTAGCAATTGAGTGTCACCTGTTTCCACAAAGCAACTGCAACACACTTCTCTACTGAGAAAGCAGCTCTCATTTGAGTGTCCTTGTGCTGCAGTTCAGGAGCCAGCTCAGACACAACTCCAGGAAGGTTGCTTTACACATCTGAAATTTCTGTAGCCACTGATCTACATCCACATCTGTATGATCATGCGACCCCACCACTCACTGCTGGTTTCCCTAACCCAAAAGCAATGCTCTACTCTGCACAGCTGCTCTGACACAGCCAATGTTATTCCACTTTGCTCCTGCCCTTGACGCTCACACTGTTGCCACATCCAAGTCTTTTTCCTCTGATATTAAGTTCATAAGTAGTTCTGCTGCAAAGCATAATGTCATAAACACATTGATCACAGTACATGAGAAGTTTGGGTTCCACGATTTCTCCCAGCACATACTGGAAGACTTGGAAAGGCTGTGAAGCAAACAGGTGGCTGACACCAATTCCCAAAATGCTTTGCGCAATGCTGTGCATTCCCACAGTGCCTAGCAACTAAATATGACGCTAGGCACTGTGGGATGCTTGCCCACATTGCTTTGCTCTTTTTGCTGTCGGGAGAGCTAACAATGTGGCCATAATATGTTGACAGAGTGGCAAACATGATTTGGCGATGTATGAATGTCGACAGTACTTTTGTTGCCAAATCTTTCCAGTGTAGTATTGGCCTTACTTACCAAAGGCAGGAACAAGAGATGAGGGTTGTTAGGCTCCCCTAAACAACACCCCAAGGCAATGTGTACATGAGAAGCACAGCCCCAAAGATGTGGGGATTTTTGGGATACCTGGTCTGTTTGGGGCTCTATCTTTGGATCAGCCTTTGGCTAATAGTTACCGTAATTTAGCGAATATAATCCGCAGGTTATATTCGTTTTTACATACCCCGCATCCACCCCACCACTGCGGGGTATACTCACCAGGTGGTGAGCTCTCCGTCACCTCTTCCTGTGACTGCGCAGCTGCCAGCCTCCAGGCAGGGGAGCAATGCAGCCGCAGGAAGGGGCAGAGAAGCGCTCATCCCCGTGCCCCTTCCTGCAGCTGAGGAGGAACCTGTGAGATGAGCGCTCCCCTGTCCGGAGGCTGGTGGCTGAGCTGGAACCTGGGTCGGTGAGTGTCTAATCCCCCGCACCGTAAATATACCCCCAGCAAATATACCCCCGGCACAGAAAAATCTTGTATACCTCACTGGTTATATTCGTTCGTGGGGTATACGCGATTTTTTTTACTCAAATAGAAAAAACCACAAGGTTGGTGGGGGGGGAGGGGAGGGTGTAGGAGTGTTATAATGCTGCAGCCAGATGGGGGCTTGTTGGCCAGGCTTTATGTTTAAATAAAGTAAAATAGTATGTACAACACAAAAGGTTTTACATTGTCTTTATTTATGGCAGGGGGGGGGGCCGTAAAACCACGGGGTATATTTGGATGCGGGGCATATTCGCTAAATTAGGGTACCTAATAAATTTCAAAATGTCAGTTTCCTCCATTTGCTGGAACAGAGACAATTCTTTTTTGTCTCTTTATGCTTCCTCCAGAGTCCCTGAGGATCTAAGAGGGATCTCCACTACTATAACCTTCTTCCAAGGTTGCCACAAAAAAGCAACAATGGAAGCTATCTAATACTTCCTCAGTCTAAAGTATGAGTTCCCTTTTCCAGAGGATACCTCCAATACCTACCTCTGTTTTTGATATTGTATTGTTGCTTGAGAAAGTAACAATGACAAGGTTTGTTCTAACAAATTGTCCAGAATCTTGTTTATTGCACTTTGTTCCCTGAAAAGACAGATATAGCAGCAGCCACACGCAAGCTGTCTGTAGCCTCAGAAAGCTAAACACTACACCTTAAAATAATCACAGATAAAAATCTTTATTTTTAAACAAAGAAAGCTTAGGCTCCCCAACTTGTTAGAGAATGCTTTCCATTTTGCACAGGTGACTGAATGGGTGGATTTTTCAAGCTCTGATTTACACAATATTATAACATTTATAAATAACATGTGTGTCCTGATCGTCATAACCACATAAAAATAAAGAACACACTTTATTTTACTATGCAGTTTCAGTGATTCAAGTTGTTAAAACATTTAGTTAAAATTTAACACATGATCGTTGTAACCTATCCTTCTTGTAACCCCAGGAACATAAAGAACATACTATGACTATACAAACAGTTATATTAAATATAAATATTTTAGGTTAGTGCTGCTAAATATTAAGGACCTATATTATTACCATAATCCAAACAAAAACAGAGTTGAATTAAAGTGTCCCTTAACTTTAATAATATTTAAATAAAAGCATTTCATACAAATACAGCAGATGGTAGTGGATACACTTAACTTCTGACTTACTTTGACCCAATTTAAATATATTTCCATACAGAATGAAAAGTATCTGATGAACTGGTTTTTACCCATAAAAGCTAATGACCTAATAAATCTGTTAGCCTCCAAGGTACCACAGGACTCTTCATTGTTTATGCCACAACTAGTACTGATTTGCTCTCTTCCTCAGGTGCAGCTGAAAGTCCTGTTGAAATGCGCTGAAACACTGTCTGGAGAACTAAAAGACAGCTAGCCCCAGCTTTATCTGTTGTGCTGAAGCCCATTCTGGATACATGACTTTTTGCAATTTGCACTATTTTTTCCTTTTAGTGCATTAATAATTAACAAACCAATATAAACTTCAGAAGGGGTTGTTTCCTTTGGAAATAAGCAATATATATTTTAATTTTCATATTTATTATAAATATTTTTAATTTCCGCTGTTAGAATGGAAATACCTGTTCCTGCTGCAAGCTATTATCGTTGTGCTTTTATTTCATTTTATGTACTGATTGCTGCCATTGTTTTGTACATAATTGTAGTTTTACTTTGGACTTGACAGTATCATATTATTTATCTTTATTTATAAAAACACAGTTCAGAATTCCTTTTTTATTCAACTGTAACTCTTGCTTGATATGTCTGTATCACAAAACCATTTTTTCAAGTTGCTTATACTTTTTAATTGTGTACCAAGAATACCCCTACTTTCCATAAGATGATAGGCTCCTTTATGGTTGATGTAATTATTTTAAGAGCATTATTAAAATATACAAATCTTATAATTCAGTGAACAACATTTTAAAACCTAGCAACTTATTTACTCTTTGGAAGTTCAACTTTTTTTCTTTACTTTTAAAGAGAGCTTTTACACACACTGATTTCTGAAGCATAAGTCTGATAAAACTTAAAATTCCAGGATATCAGAAGCACAAGAATATGGAATAAGTATAGCTAATTAATTTCTACAAGGCATAAAGATGGGTGAGAAACTTCTAAATAAAACATGCATACTGCTGCTGACCCTGATGAACCTGGATTCCCGCGGCACAGAAAAATCTTGTATACCTCACTGGTTATATTCGTTCGTGGGGTATACGCGATTTTTTTTACTCAAATAGAAAAAACCACGGGGTATATTTGGATGCGGGGCATATTCGCTACATATATACCCGCGGCACAGAAAAATCTTGTATACCTCACTGGTTATATTCGTTCGTGGGGTATACGCGATTTTTTTTACTCAAATAGAAAAAACCACGGGGTATATTTGGATGCGGGGCATATTCGCTAAATTAGGGTACCTAATAAATTTCAAAATGTCAGTTTCCTCCATTTGCTGGAACAGAGACAATTCTTTTTTGTCTCTTTATGCTTCCTCCAGAGTCCCTGAGGATCTAAGAGGGATCTCCACTACTATAACCTTCTTCCAAGGTTGCCACAAAAAAGCAACAATGGAAGCTATCTAATACTTCCTCAGTCTAAAGTATGAGTTCCCTTTTCCAGAGGATACCTCCAATACCTACCTCTGTTTTTGATATTGTATTGTTGCTTGAGAAAGTAACAATGACAAGGTTTGTTCTAACAAATTGTCCAGAATCTTGTTTATTGCACTTTGTTCCCTGAAAAGACAGATATAGCAGCAGCCACACGCAAGCTGTCTGTAGCCTCAGAAAGCTAAACACTACACCTTAAAATAATCACAGATAAAAATCTTTATTTTTAAACAAAGAAAGCTTAGGCTCCCCAACTTGTTAGAGAATGCTTTCCATTTTGCACAGGTGACTGAATGGGTGGATTTTTCAAGCTCTGATTTACACAATATTATAACATTTATAAATAACATGTGTGTCCTGATCGTCATAACCACATAAAAATAAAGAACACACTTTATTTTACTATGCAGTTTCAGTGATTCAAGTTGTTAAAACATTTAGTTAAAATTTAACACATGATCGTTGTAACCTATCCTTCTTGTAACCCCAGGAACATAAAGAACATACTATGACTATACAAACAGTTATATTAAATATAAATATTTTAGGTTAGTGCTGCTAAATATTAAGGACCTATATTATTACCATAATCCAAACAAAAACAGAGTTGAATTAAAGTGTCCCTTAACTTTAATAATATTTAAATAAAAGCATTTCATACAAATACAGCAGATGGTAGTGGATACACTTAACTTCTGACTTACTTTGACCCAATTTAAATATATTTCCATACAGAATGAAAAGTATCTGATGAACTGGTTTTTACCCATAAAAGCTAATGACCTAATAAATCTGTTAGCCTCCAAGGTACCACAGGACTCTTCATTGTTTATGCCACAACTAGTACTGATTTGCTCTCTTCCTCAGGTGCAGCTGAAAGTCCTGTTGAAATGCGCTGAAACACTGTCTGGAGAACTAAAAGACAGCTAGCCCCAGCTTTATCTGTTGTGCTGAAGCCCATTCTGGATACATGACTTTTTGCAATTTGCACTATTTTTTCCTTTTAGTGCATTAATAATTAACAAACCAATATAAACTTCAGAAGGGGTTGTTTCCTTTGGAAATAAGCAATATATATTTTAATTTTCATATTTATTATAAATATTTTTAATTTCCGCTGTTAGAATGGAAATACCTGTTCCTGCTGCAAGCTATTATCGTTGTGCTTTTATTTCATTTTATGTACTGATTGCTGCCATTGTTTTGTACATAATTGTAGTTTTACTTTGGACTTGACAGTATCATATTATTTATCTTTATTTATAAAAACACAGTTCAGAATTCCTTTTTTATTCAACTGTAACTCTTGCTTGATATGTCTGTATCACAAAACCATTTTTTCAAGTTGCTTATACTTTTTAATTGTGTACCAAGAATACCCCTACTTTCCATAAGATGATAGGCTCCTTTATGGTTGATGTAATTATTTTAAGAGCATTATTAAAATATACAAATCTTATAATTCAGTGAACAACATTTTAAAACCTAGCAACTTATTTACTCTTTGGAAGTTCAACTTTTTTTCTTTACTTTTAAAGAGAGCTTTTACACACACTGATTTCTGAAGCATAAGTCAGATAAAACTTAAAATTCCAGGATATCAGAAGCACAAGAATATGGAATAAGTATAGCTAATTAATTTCTACAAGGCATAAAGATGGGTGAGAAACTTCTAAATAAAACATGCATACTGCTGCTGACCCTGATGAACCTGGATTTAGCGAGTTAATATTTAAGAATTGAGGCATGTCTTCACCTCCACTTATGACATCACAAAATAAGGTCACATCCCTGGATATAAAGTAAACTGGCTCAAGAATGATCAGTCAATGTTTCAAAAAACTAGATCACATTCAGTACAGGCAGTCCCCGGGTTACATGGATCCGACTTACATCGGATCCCTACTTACAAACAGGGTGAGGCAACCCTGCACTAGCTGCTTCCCCCCAGCAGACCAGGGAGACGCGAAGCTAGCTCCCCCACCTCTCCCCCCCAGCAGACCAGGGAGACACGGAGTGGCTTTTCTCAGCAGACACTTCAGCTTGAGAATAAAGGACTGAGGGAAGTGAGGTGTGGGAGAATAAAACTGAGCTCTGGAAAAATGTTTGGCTAGAGTTTCCCCTACAATATGTACCAGTTCCGACTTACGTACAAATTCAACTTAAGAACAAACCTACAGTCCCTATCTTGTACGTAACCCGGGGACTGCCTGTACTAACATTCCCATGACAGAGAGCTCTAGGAGTAAGCTGAGTGCTGACTCATCTAAAATGGTCTCATTAAATAATGACAATACTTAGAAAGACATTTCAAACCATAATGTATGCTGGCAACATTTTTAGATCTCTTTGTTAGGTTGCAACACTTAGGGTACGTCTAGACTACATGTCTCTGTCGCCAGAGGCATGTAGATTAGGCTACCGGGCATAGGAAAATGATTTTTTTGTGATTTTTTTTTATGATTAAAGGTCATTCTCTCCTCCCCTATTATTTTTCATAAGAATTTCTTAAGAAGAGACTAATAATGTACTGTGAGGAATTTCATGAAGAATTATTTCAAAATGGCTGCACTAAGAAGCAGTGGAGGGGTGGCTCCCACTCCCAGAACCCACTGGTAAGCATCACCCTTACTGGTTAATGCTTACTGGGTAGCAGTTAACTTGTTCCCCATTAACATCCTTTATCTTCATTCCCCCCACACAGCTGTGTAAGGCTCTAGGAGGGAGTTTGGATGGAGAAGGGGTACAGACTACGGGAGGGTGTTTGAGTGCTAAGTGCAGATGCTGGGCTGGGGCAAGATACTGGGGTACAAGAGGAGTGAGAGGTCAGGCTCTGGGAGGGTATTTAGGTGCCGGAAAGGTGAAGGGGTAAAACTCTGGAAGGAAGTGTTGGTGCTGAAGGGAAGCGGAGGGAGAGAACATAGGCTCTGGGGGGGGGGATTGTGGGGTGGAGGATGCTGCACTTACCTAGGGCACTCCTCTCTGGCAGCAGCTCTGGGAGGACAGGGGGTCTCTGAGTGTCTCCCCCTGCTCCGATGGGTCTCTGAGCGTCTCTCCCCCCCTCCTCCCGATGGGTCTTCCGGCTCTTGCTACCAGTCTGCATACTCCTCCACTATGCAACCCCGGACCCTGCCTGCCACCTCTGGATGATTTAAAAGACTCCAGGAGCTGCCGCCATTGGCAGCACCGAAGAGTGAGAATAGCTTTTGGGTGCTAGCTCCGTGCCGCAGCTGGCATATCCCAATGGCCTAGAGGAGGTGTGTTTCTCTATGTGCTGTTCCCAGCAGCTGGAGCAGCACACAGATACCATCTCTCTCCAGGCTGCAGGGACTCATGTACTAGCAGACACACAGGGCTAATTAAATAACTTTTAAAAAATATTTTGTGGGTGATTGTCTAACTGCTTGGGCTGTAGATAGCCTGTGGGCCAGGAGTTTGAGACCCCAGTCATAGAGTAATATGAATTTTAAATTGCAGCGAGTCTACTGATTAGTTCCCAAGTACCAATTTTGACCCAAGTAAGTTGTTTCAGAATTTGAAATTGTATCCTTCATGTTCAGCACGAGGTCTTTTGATTAAAGGTCAGTAATAAAGACAGACATTATTCTCAACATAACTTGTAACTGTAATGTAAGAACGTTAAATAAGTAGTTCCCATTTCCAATGTATACCTCTGATACTTAAGGTAAGGATGTTAAGTATCAGGTAACTGACTAATCGAATAGTCAATGCATTTTGCATCGATTATTTTGATTAGTTGATAGGGCACCTCCGCCTCCGAAGTGTAACAACAGCCTGAACTGATCCCGGGCTCCAGGCGGTGCTACTGCTTTGAAATACTGCAAAGAGCCTGATATTGGGCTTCTTACAGCATTTCAAAGTGGCAGCACCAGATGAAGCCCAGGGTCAGCTGGGGATCCTGGGCTCCCCACATTGCTGGCACTTTGAAATGCCAGCCTGAGGACACCCTAGCGGGCCCTGGGCTGCATGCAGGTTTTCAAAGCAGCAGAGCCATTTGGAAAAGAGGAGACTAAGGGGGGATATGATAGAGGTATATAAAATCATGAGTGGTATGGAGAAAGTGAATAAGGAAAAGCTATTTACTTGTTCCCATAATATAAGAACTAGGGGCCACCAAATGAAATTAATGGGCAGCAGGTTTAAAACAAATAAAAGGAAGTTCTTCACACAGTGCAGTCAGTCAATCTGTGGAACTCCTTGCCTGAGGAGGTTGTGAAGGCTAGGACTATAACAGGGTTTAAAAGAAAACTAGATAAATTCATGGAGGATAAGTCCATTAATGGCTATTAGCCAGTATGGGTAATTAATGGTGTCCCTAGCTTCTGTTTGTCAAAGGATGGAG